CCCCCCCCCCCCCACCCCCCTAATCACAGCAGCTTAAAGCAGAATTCAACTCTAAAAACTTAAAACACTTCTAAGAGGAAGGGAATTCCGGCAGAAGAGACATGAAGTCAAAAACCTTTTCCTCCTTCCCCATAGCAATGTATTTATTGTCTGTGTATACTGCAGTGTACACCCCATGGCTCATTACAGATGCCGGGATGGGACCAGGTGCCGGAGATGATGTAACTCATGCAGGGGCATCCCGAGGCCGGGTGCTACCCAGAGCGGGTACCGGGTGACACCCCGTCGTGACGTCATCGCGCATGCGCGGCCATCTTGGCGATACCTGCAGCCGGCCATCTTGGTGATGGACGCCGGAAGATTGGAGGAGGGGACGTTCACCCGGCGGGATAAGGTCCCCTCATGTCTCCTGCAGCTGTCGGGGCTCTCTGTCCATGACCGAGTGCCCGACTTTTCTGAGGGGGGGTGACACCAAATGGTGTTATCCGGGTGCGGCCGGGACCCGCCTTGTGACGCCACCGAGGTCCTGTAATAACACTATCAGTAGCCACTCAATGGCCTAAAGGAAGCCACTCAATGGCCTAAAGGAAGCCACTCAATGGCCTAAAGGAAGCCACTCAATGGCCTAAAGGAAGCCACTCAATGGCCTAAAGGAAGCCTGGAGACTCCATAGTAGTGGTGGTGGAGATGGTGGTAGCGGGGGACAGAGCCCACATCACACCTATAAGGAAAGTGTGACATAATGTGCAAGAATGCCCAGCACACAGGTCTTTACCTCTGCTTTAATGAAGCAACATGGGAGTGAATTGAAGGTGATTATGTGCCGCTGTGGGGACCAGGAATTAAAGCTGACCTGTTCCCTTGTATCAATCAGCATACAACAGAAATCCAGGTACAAGAAGCAGATTTACCTTCTTTCCTCTTTTGAACGTGCTGTACCAATCTCCGGGGGTTTCCTTACTCCAAGCTGCAACTTTCACCTACAAGAACAAACCAAGATGTCCATCAGCAGAACCTCCACCAACCAGCAACTCTAAAGATGGAGACGTCCTTCATACAGTGAGAACTCTCTTATGAATTACATTGTATTTGATTGATTTCCTCGCATCAGCTCAGGGGCAAAAAAATAATTTTTGGACATAAACCAACATCTCCCCATCCCGGGACTTCTCGGGGGATTCTGAACCTTGTCTAATGTTCCATCACGAACCCCATGGAAGCAGAACGCTACCCTGCGTCTTTACAGCTGACATTCCCATTCCATTGAATGAATCTCAGCAATGACCGGCTGCAGGATTCAGTAATATAATGAATGAAGTCTTTTTCGGGATCACCGTGGATGATGGGAATCTGGCAGTCTAGTTATTTCAATGGATCCCTATTGCCAGGGCTTGACCGGACTATCGCCTTGCAAGTCCCTATATTATGTTATAGAACATTTATTATTACCCATATTTTTGGGGTAAAATATAAAAGTCGGGGTCACGTCGGGTAAATAGACACCAAACATGTCAAGCTTTGAAAGTGCGCGTGCCCACAAAATCGCAAAAAGACGAATACACCCAAAATTGGCCATAGGCGACGCTTAAAAAGCTTTTACCACTCATCAGTTTAGTGTTATCGGTGATTGGTGGGCCGAGAATTATCGCTCTCACTGCGACGTTCGCGGCGATATGTAACATGTGCGGCGCAATGGGCGCAATCGTCGTTTTCGCAAGTAGGTGAACCCGATACATGTTTGCGTGTGTATGTGGTGGTGGTGGACGCTAAAAAAAATGTGATAGCCAATTTACATGACAGGTCCTCTTTATGGAGACATATCCTTTATGGAGACAGGTCCTCTTTATGGAGGTCCTCTTATGGAGACCCCTAATGTCACCTAGGGACCCCCAGAGAAGCTGATGAAGTCGAGATCTGCTTCACCAGCTTCTCTCCGGCTTCTGTAGCTGGAGAGTGGCACTGAATGCAGGAAGTGATGTAATATACATCACTTCCTGCAATCGGGGACCGGAGAGGAGATCAGAGGGAGTTCGTGTGCTGATCTCCCTTTGATCTCCTGTCACAGAGCAGCACCGGGCACAGCGGATCCCGATACCGGCAGCGGCTGCTAATACAAGCGATCGCTTAAACGTACCGCTCCCGGCCGGGAAGCCACAGACAAGAGGACGAGCGGATTTTTTAAGCCCCGCCTATTCATGGAGCTGTGGACTACAAACCACACGATAACGATGCGGGGGTGGGGGCGGGGCAGAGAGATGTGACTCATGTTTAATAAAAAGTTTCTGTTTCTCCCCAAAAAGAAAAATCGATGGTTTTGGGTGAAGTTCTTCTTCAAGCGCTACAAAGAAAACAAAATGGGACGGCGTATATCTGTATACTGACCGACTCAAACTTCTTGTCGGGGTGAAGACACGTCTCTCCGCCCGACGTGAAATTACAGAACACTTTGATGGCGTCTCTGTTACATCCCTGATTCGGGTCAATCCAATATTCACCTGTGAAGGGGGAACGGAACGTATAAATATCTTCAGTCGTATGAACCCCGCCATGGAACCCCCCCCTCCGATCAGGCCCGGATTCCCCACAAGGCCACCGAGGCCCGGCCTCGGGGCGGCAGGGCGCAGAGGGGCGGCAGCGGTGTGGGGAAGTTCCGGGCGCCGGGCGGTAAGTTGCTTTGCACAAACAGGACTCAATGTAGAGTGAGGCAGCCAATGGTTCGTTTACATGCGATGTCGCCGAGATCACATGTACACAGTCTGCAGCCTCCTCCCCTCCCCCCCTGCACTTACCTCTCTCCTCTGGTCCCGTCCTCCCCTCCCCCCCTGCACTTACCTCTCTCCTCTGGTCCCGTCCTCCCCTCCCCCCCTGCAC